CCTCCCCCGTTCATGCTCTGTCTCTGTCTCAAAAATAAAAAAAACATTAAAAAAAATAAAAAAACAAAAACACGTCTACCATTTTAAAGCCCAAAATGATCCGTGATGATTCCCCCAACAAACATTTCTCAACACTGATGAATTTAAAAATTTATCTACTCCACACATATAGTTGTTGAGAGTTTACAATGTGCTAGGTGCTGTTCTGTGCCTTGGGAATAATGCTCGGAGAACAAAACAGAATTCTCAGCTCTCGTGGAGTTTACACGTCCAGGAAGGACAGACAACAAATCACATGAATATCAGAGGTAGTGTGGTAGATGGTAAGGAGAAAAATGAAGGTGGAATAAGGAATGTTATGGGGAATTGAAATTTAGATAAGTCACGTATGAAGACAAGGATACAATTTCAGCATAGATTTGAAAGGAGGCGAGGGGAGAGGACAGGGGAGGGGAGTCGTGAGGTGTCCCCCCCGCTGCATGGAATGGGCGGGGCACAATAGGAGGAGGTGAAGGCAGAGAGATAAAAAGCCAGATCAAGTAGGGCCTTGGAGGTTTTAGCTCTGAGATGCAAGGCCTTGGAAACAGTTGAACATAGGAATTTCTGTGTGTTTCTCAGTTAAGCAGGTTCTGTTTTATACTTAGGTAGTCCCAGTTGTGCTCCAGGACAAAAATTAGGGCGCACTTTTCTTTCTATCCAGGTCTAGCAAATAGAAGTTGACCTTTTAGCATTTTATACTTAAGGAGAAAAGAGCAAACCTGTGCAGGTTAGAGGTTAAATGCAATTCATATCCTGATACTTCAGACGTGCTAGTTTTATGGCCACAGGCAAAATGTGTACGCTCAGGTAACAAACTCCATTTGTTTGAATTGCAAATTCAAGATTACAGACGTGAACGTCTTCGGGGACTAGGCCAGAGGTTCGCGTATCAGGAACAGTGGTGAGCCCCCCCCAGCTGTATTTCGCTGGGTGAGCCAATCAGCAGCAGCAGTGTTTCTGGTTGAATCTACACCCACTGGTGGCCTGTTCCAAGCTCTGGGTGGCATCTGGGTTTCCCTTAGGTCACTTGCCAGGTAGAGATGTTAACAATCCCTGTCTCGGGGAATTGTCTAGGTGGTAAAAGAACCATGACTTCATGAGTTCAAAAGTGTAATTTGGTGCCTGCATAGATCATTTTATTTAATCCACACAATAACTCTATGGGTGAGGGGCCATTATTAGCCCAAATACAACGGCGAAGAAATTGAAGCATAGTGAGGTAAGCTACTTCACAGAGGTGCTCATTTTGATAATTCAGTCATGGGTTTTATCTCCGGTGCTAGACAATGGATGGCCATTGTGTGTTACATGCATATTTTAATTTTGCTTTCTCTGAACACCCATCAAAAACTTTTTGAGCGCTTACAACGCGCCCCACGTCATTGGAGGTGCCGGAAATAGAGCAGTGAGTAACGTGGGTAAGGTTCCCTTGGGGTGGGGCTCACGGACATTGCCCTTGTCGTTGTGGGAGACAGGAAATAAACAAAAATAAACAAACACAGTATTTTGGTGGGTAAAGAGATTCAGGGGTGGAAGAAACAGGCCAAGAAGATTAAGGACTGCCAGGGATGGGTGGTGGAGGGTTGTAGTCTTAAAGAGGGTGGGTGGGGAGGACTCCCCCACTAACGTGCCACCGAGGCAGAGGCAGGAAGCCTGGGAAGGAGGTGGTTCTGCACGCATCTGTGAGAAGATCATTCCACAGAGAAGAGGACAGTGATGACTGAACAGGTCCTAAGCTGGGAGCATATTCAGGGTCACGGTCTGACAAGTAGCCAGAGGACAGGGTCCTCTGTGTTCTCAAGCTGGGGCTCCCAGGGAAACTCAGCATTGATTCACGTGTTTTTAATATTTTTTGAGAAAGTATCACTCCAGGTTCCCGAGCGCACAGTGAGGAAGGTGAACCAAGAGGCAAGGGCAGGTATAGACGAGTGTTAAGCTCATGGAGGACTGCCAGCCTGATTCAGGAAAGGGTCTTAATTGTGTGATAGTGTACTTAAAATCAAAAGAGATTTGAGGTTCCAAATGAGAGAACAGAGCTTTTTAGAACAAAAGGCGAGGACTGAATCTTCTGGAGGTTCGGTGCATAACGAATGTTACCCTGATGGTGATATCTTCGGAATGAGTTGAGAAAACCCACCAAGGTAAAAAGTGCAGAAGTCAAGCCTGAGGCAGGTAAGGCTGGAACTTGTATACCAGATGGTGGCCCTCAGAATGTACATGGAAACAGTGGGCTGTCACTGGACTCCAAACTCAGCCTGACCTTGTTCACGGGCTTTGAGTCTGACCTTGTTGGCCTCCCTCTACCTTCCCAGGTGTTTTGCTGATCTCCCAAGCCTGTGCTGATCGCACACCGCTCGCCCCGGCTTCCCAGTGGCGGTGATCACTGTTCATCTCAACGGGGAAATTTGATTCTAACTAGACTGGTACCATTTTATTTTCTTCGCAGCCGAAGCAATTATTGCCAATACTTACAATTCAGTTGTGTTGTACCAGGAAGCTCCAGTGTCCCCCTGAAGAGGTAGGAACTCATCAGTCTCCCTCTGTCTTTAAAAATTTTCTTTTTTAATGTTTTTATTTATTTTTGAAGGAGAGAGAGACAGAGCATGAGCGGGGGAGGAGCAGAGAGAGAGGGAGACCTTCTGTCTTTAGGTAAGAGCTGTGGCAGGGACAGCCACACAGTTGTTCCCTGAAATTGGCTTTTCCTCTCTTATGTAGTAATGGCACTCCCCCGGCTTCTTTTGTAGCTAGTGTGGCCATCGAGTATTTTTGGCCAAGGGCATATTAGCAAAGGCCGGGTTACCCCATTCTCAGGATTTCAGTAAATGGTGGGGATGCCCGTTTCTCCTTCCTTCAGGATAGAATGTGAACAAGAGAGTTGTAGCTGGAGCAGACCTCTTGGGCTGCAAGGTGTAAGAATGACAGCTAGAATAAAAAGGTAGGAAATTACCCGCATGTCTTCTTTAAAAAAATGTCCATTTATTTTTGAGAGAGAGAGAGAGACAGCGGGGAGAGGAAGAGAAAGAGGGAGACACAGAACTCAAGGCAGGCTCCAGGCTCTGAGCTGCCAGCACAGAGTCTGATGCGGGGCTCGAACTCATGAACGGTGAGATCATGACCTGAGCTGAAGTTGGACGCCCAACCAACTGAGCCACCCAGGCACCCCCCAACCCCCCATTCATGTCTTCAATTATACTACCGGGCAGGCCATTTCTGGGCACACAGCCTCATGTATTGGCTGCCCGTGACATCCCAAGCAGCCATGCCCTTGACGAGGGTGTTTGTCTGCAGAAGGCAAATGGGGCTAAAGTGGAAGTCACCAAGGGGTGGTCAATGTAAGACTGAATACTGAGTACCTCATAAATATTTGGTGTGGCGCAAATTCTGGCATTTCTCGCTCTCTTTCATCTCTTCCCACCTCCGTGTAGCACACGAGCTCCGCTTACTTTCTCTATGTGCACCATGTCTGACAGGCAACAAATTTATGATTTTTAGTCAATACAGCTTTTGAATTTTGTCTCCATCTCATACAATTTCTTGCTTACCCACATAACACTTCTCGTAAGTTTCTCACTTAGGAATTACCCACTTAACATTTCTTATGAGTTGCGGCCATCCAGTTTGTTGGTCTTGGGTTGGTCCTCCATAGCAGAATTCAATAGCAGAATATATTTGAGAATATTCTCCAATGACAGAGTCAACGCACATTACACAAAGGGAGATGAGCTCCTTAGGAAGACCCCATGCCAGGCCCGAGATTACATTTATACACCTGTTCATGAGAGAGAAACCGTCTTTTATCTACTTTAACCAGTGACTATTTTAGGTTGTCTGTCACTCCCAAGGGTGTACACAAAAACAGTCCTTAAGAAGATTAATGGACAAGATCTATGATAGCGTTCCTTTCTGCATTTCAGTAAGATCCTACATTTTAGTTAGGCACCGAACTTCTACAGAATCCCCGTGAACCCAAAATGAGACATGGCCCGGTGAAAAGCATAAATAAATATATAGCCCCTGTTGTTAACTCTAGTCCATAAATGCAAACTCTGCATGTTTTTTTTTTCCTGCACATCGAATCTTCTCTCCCTCTAGCCACATCCTCTTCCCTTGTCATTGTCCTAGTCAAGATTAAATCCATTTGACTTTTGGCAATGCTAAAGTGACCTTCAGACAGAGGTTTGCCCTTTCTGTTAGTCTGTGAGACTCCCATTGAAATGTCCATTTTCGACTCGGAGCCCTGTGAGGTCAAAGATTATTTCTATCCTGCTCACTGAGCTCTTCCCCAAGTACCTGTCACTCTCTGAAGCTCACTTTCTGAGGCTCTCAACAAATAAACAAATAAACTCAGAGTCCTAGTCCTTCCCCTCAACACGTCATTTAGGGAAGAAAGTTAGGCACACTCAGATCTGTGATCCTAGAACCTCGTGCACTAACCACCACCCTCTCTGTTCCACACTCCCTGATCCGACAGAGAAGTGCCTAGGAGGGTGGACTTGCCAAAAGTGAGGACAGTAACTGAAGGGCTCTTGATGACGTGAGTCTCAAGGTACTTTGTAAATGGATAGGGGACAGTGTATTCTGTTGAGGATTCCTATCAAGCCTCTTAAGGGAAGACTGCCCAGGCCTGGCTCCTGTGCTGGCTGGCAGACATCACTGCAAAACAAGAGGCAGTGTTTCCAGGCTGTTCTCTGCCGCTTCTTTACCTTCTCCTTCCTCTTACAAATCCTGTTTACTTTTCCAAAGAAGCACGGAATGCCTCAATTACTTGCAGAATAACAACTAAAGTTTGGGGTTATTCTTCAACAGACATCTATCCTCTAAGTTCAGTGGTTTCCCTCCCAACCCCTTCCATTTACTAGGAAATTAGTTTCTCACGCCATCAGGTATATAGCATCCTATTGTTTCCCACTGAACAATGACTCAGACTCACCAAGCACATTGTGCTTTCTACACAGGCTTGCCTATAAGGGATGCCAATGTGTAGAACTCGTCCAGGCTCGCCCAGACAGCCCAAGACTTCTCAGTACAAGCCCTGGCGAAAACTCTGCCAAGTTAGTTTCATTTTCTGAAACTCTCAATAGTTAAGCAGCCAAGCACTGCCTTGTTTTCGAAACAAGTTTTTCTGCTCATGTCTTGCTTAATACCGTTTCACGAACACAAACTACCGAGAAAACTAGAATGGGAAAGTAAAGACCGAGAAAAGCATTTCAACTGCCACATGGCTCTTGCCTAACACTACCAACACTCCAGGATTAAAGCTCTTTATGTGAAAGGTTGAGCGGCTCTGAAAAGAGCCTTTGGGGTTGGGTAACAGGACGCTTACTTGGCAAGTCTACTTGGAGCTGGTGTACTTGGTGACGGCCTTGGTGCCCTCGGACACGGCGTGCTTGGCCAGCTCCCCGGGCAGCAGCAGGCGCACGGCCGTCTGGATCTCCCGGGACGTGATGGTCGAGCGCTTGTTGTAATGCGCCAGGCGCGACGCCTCGCCCGCGATGCGCTCGAAGATGTCGTTGACGAACGAGTTCATGATGCCCATGGCCTTGGACGAGATGCCGGTGTCGGGGTGCACCTGCTTCAGCACCTTGTACACGTACACCGAGTAGCTCTCCTTGCGGCTGCGCTTGCGCTTCTTGCCGTCCTTCTTCTGCGCCTTGGTCACCGCCTTCTTGGAGCCCTTCTTCGGGGCCGGGGCGGACTTGGCTGGCTCAGGCATGGCGCACAAACGTAGCAAAAAAAGTCCAGCAGACTGAAAACTGAGCGTCAGGCTGGCCTACTTTTATATGCCTCGTATGCAAATAGCGGCTTAATCTATCTTAACTCCTGATTGGAGCAAATCTGCCAGTAGAAACACCTTATGCAAATAAGGTGATTTTAAATCTACTTTCTGATTGGTCGTTTGTGTGAAAGCAAGTCTAGACCCTTTTCTCCACCATCAGAGTTTTCCTTTTCAAAACTGCAAAAGTATATCTTGTCAGTAATACCTGTTTATGAAGTCTTGTGTCTCCCTAGATCCCGACCTAAAGAGACAAAAACCTGACAAATTTATGACATCTGCCTGCCAAATTGCAGTTACCCGGTTACTAAATGCAATACAGAGAACACAAAAATTAAGTATTTAAATTTTAAGAAAATTATGCCATGGCATTACTAGTTTGGTTTGCTCAAAGTCGGCAAAATTTAGGCTTTTTCACGAAGCGAAGGACCGTCACATTTCAACAGCGGTGCGATTTTTATGTTTCCTAGGAGCAGAGTGTCTGGAAGTGATGCCAATGTTTGTTTGTGTGTTGGTAGTTATGGGATACGGCGCTTCCTTGGCTAATATAAAACGTGGCTTCAAGCTCAGAAACTGAGAAATGACAAAGGACGATACTGAACCGGATCAATCACGTTCAGACGGACAGCTTTTGAAACCGCTCAGGAACTGTAGAGGTTTCACTTTCGTCTCTTCCCAAATTCAATTCCAGACAAGAGGATTAAGACAAAACCAGTTAAGGTACCGTGAAACATTAACTACAGGCTGAATAAAGGACGGAGGACTCTGGGAACATAGTACATTTCAGGATTACGAGATTTTCTAAAGTGAGTCCTTGCAACCAATCAGAAGGCCCATCAGGTTACTCAATTCACGGCGCGGAATTTGAAGATTCGGACCAATCAGGAGGACGTTGCCTTTATAAATAAGAGCCAGCGCGAAGGAACTTTCAGTTGGGCGTCTGGTGTGCATTTTCCCGTTATGGCTCGCACGAAGCAGACGGCGCGCAAGTCAACGGGCGGCAAGGCCCCGCGCAAGCAGCTGGCCACCAAGGCGGCCCGCAAGAGCGCGCCGGCCACCGGCGGCGTCAAGAAGCCGCACCGCTACCGGCCCGGCACGGTGGCCCTGCGCGAGATCCGCCGCTACCAGAAGTCCACCGAGCTGCTGATCCGCAAGCTGCCGTTCCAGCGGCTGGTGCGCGAGATCGCGCAGGACTTCAAGACCGACCTGCGCTTCCAGAGCTCGGCCGTGATGGCGCTGCAGGAGGCGTGCGAGGCCTACCTGGTGGGGCTCTTCGAGGACACCAACCTGTGCGCCATCCACGCCAAGCGCGTCACCATCATGCCCAAGGACATCCAGCTGGCGCGCCGCATCCGCGGCGAGAGGGCCTAAGTTCTTAACGAAGGATCGCCGACCTTAAACCCAAAGGCTCTTTTCAGAGCCACCTCTCGTTTCAATTTAAAGAGCTGTATCCTGGGCAGTAGTGTCCGCAGTACTATCTCTCCCCTCCCCCCCCCCAGGCCATGTGGGAGGACCTCTAGGGGCGGCGGCATTTGCCAAGATTTGAGTAGCATTGGTACCTGTCGCGGGAGCTGACTCTCCAGCTTCCTACTCTGGCCTCCACCTGAACACGAGAAACTTCGGGATCCTTACCTTGATTAGGCCGAGTGCGCCCTTTGAGGCCTCTTGGCACTGCATCCTCCAGCGGAGGGTGTTTGACAGGTCTTGGCTTTTCCTTCCTGCCTTCGCCCATGTGGAGTGAAGGGTTCATACGGCCGCCTTGGGCTGGTGTATTTACCCGGTCTACGAAGTAGTAGCGGCAATTTACTTCCAATCCCGAAATTGACCACTCGGGATTTGGGAAATCTACAGAGCAGCTGGCTAGATGCCAGCAGCAGTTGATGTCGGACCTACCCGGAACCCAGGCGTGGGTTTTCACATTTCATTCTGAAATGACAGGAAGCGAACTGGGTTCCTGCGTTTGATAGGGCATGCGCACACTGGTGTTCATGAAGGCGTGCTGAGTCGTGCGTGGGAGCAGTGAAGGTGGCAGTGCGTTTATTTCTTTACTGAGCAATACATCCTCCAGTAAAGACCGTCATCCTTTCTGTGCTGGAAATGGAGGTCGGTACCGGAACCCCAAACCTGGGTTCCACAGCAGTTCCAGAGTTCATGCAGCAGCACTAGCCGGAGTGTGGGCAGCAGCCTGTCTGTAGAACTGCGCGGGGCGCCAGTGCACCAACCCTGGAGCCTGGAGTGAGAGCTAAGTATGTTTAGCCTCCCCCCCCCCACCCCCCCGAAATCGGCTTGTTGCAGCTCATGATTGACTGAAAAGTCGAGGTTGTGCAGAATGTGTCTACACCCCGTATGAGAACCATGTAGTCTCTAAGGCAGGACTCAGAGCTTTCACAGGTGGTGGTGAATAATCTGTTAATCCTCAAAGAACCAAGGAGGCAACAGCTCCCAACTTTGCTCAAACAAATTCAGAGTCCTATGACGATCCCCAGCGCCATGCAGGATTTGTACGCGCAGTCAGGTCTTAGGGACATCGGTAATGGGGAACTCTTAGCCTCATCCCCGGGTTTATCCCGCCGTGAGGTTTAGGAAAGGCTGGAGGTTTTTCAGGAACCAAGCGAACAGTTCTGCGTGTCAGTGGAAACACAAATCCCATGGCCGGAGCCACAGGACAGGGATACCAGCATTTATTCAGCAAACACTGGAGTCTCTTGGTGGGGTAAATCCTCGGCTACAGAACCCAGAAGTCAGATTTCAGAAACAACGGGAACTATGGTACAATACTTTTGAACCTTGAAGCAACCTGGCAAATGATAATAGCAATACCGTGGGATTCCTTTGTGACTATTCAAAAGGTTATTAGGCTCCCAGATAGCATAGCAGCACTTTTGTGTCTTAAAAAATGTCATTTTAAGGTGGACTGCAGGAAATACAGAATAACACAAAACTGCCAGGGGCGGGGGCAAAACAACCTGGTACATGGAAGTTCATGACAGCTTTATTTGCAATAGCCCTAAATTAGAAACCACTTGTATCTTCAATGGGTGGATGTGAAATGTTTTCATACACCCACGCATGGATTCCTGCTGGGTGATAAAAAGGGAGGTTAGTGATCCAGATAACAGCTTGCGTGGATCTCAAGGGCTTAAGGCTTAGTGGAAAAAGCTACTGGGGAGGAACCCATTTTCTTCTACCCTTGGAGGTTCTTTGGCTGTAAATTGCTATAGAAACAAATTAACAGGAGAAAAATAAACTTAATTATGTATGTGTGGGAGCCCCATCAGAGTATGAGACCCAGGGATAAGTCTGTCAGTTGAGATTGGTTGATTGATTGATTGATTGATTGAGTCATGCATTCATGCATTCATTCATTCAAGTACTTATTCATTTATCTTGAGAGAGAGGGAGAGAGAGAATCCCAAGCAGGCTTCGCCCTCAACACAGAGCCTGATGTGGTACTCGATCTCACGAACTGTGACCCGACCCAAAATCAAGAGTCAGATGCTCAACCGACTGAGGCACCCAGGTGCCCTGTCAGTTGAGATTTATAGGCCACCCTGAGCTAAAGGCACAGGGACCTGTGGCTTCAAAGGGAAATAGGGCAACCCACAGATAGGTGTTTCATTCTGGTTGGGCTGCCCTCACAGCAGGGCGACAGAAGAGACCCCTGAGTTGGAAGACGTGCGGTCACATAGGGATGATCTGTGTGGTACCAGCTTGTCAGTTGGCTTTTCTCATTTGTGAAGTTTCTGATCAAGGCCTTTGTCCAATCTCTAGATCGTTTTCCCATTTTTGTTATCGATTTGAATAAATATTGATTAATTAAATTAACTAGACAAATGTGGATTTATGTATTCTGGATCCTAGCATTTGGTTGATTTTAGATTCATATCATTTTCAGTTCTGTGACTTGTAGTTTTGCTTTTCACGTAGTCGCCTTTATAAACCGAACTTCTTGCTTTTAAGACAGTTGCATGTACCCATCTGTTACTTTACGTCTTTTCTTTTTTCTGTCTTATTTTAAAAATGTCCTCTCTAATCCCAGGTCATGATGATATTTACTTATGCTGTTTTCTAAGAGTTTGTGTTTTGTTTTTCACATTTCCGTTTTTAATCCTTGGGGTGGGGGAGCTTTAATTTCATTCGTTTTCCATGTGGCTACCCAGCTTTCCAAGCATTATTTACAGACAGCATCATATTTTCCCTGCAGGTCTCTTTAAAAAAATTTTTTTTTAATGTTATTATTTATTTGTTTTGAGAGAGAGAGAGAGAGAGACAGGGCATGAGCAGGGGAGGGGCAGAGAGAGAGGGAGACACGGAATCCGAAGCAGGCTCCAGGCTCGGAGTTGTCAGCACAGAGCCTGACGTGGGGCTCGAACTCACGAACTGTGAGATCATGACCTGAGCCGAAGTCGGACGCTTCACCGACGGAGCCCCTCAGGCACCCCTCCTTGCAGGTCTCTTATGCCACCTCTGCCCCCATCTAAGTGCTCCTGGGTGTGAGGGTTTCTGGGCTCTCTGTTATGTTCCGGTGGTCATCGTGCCTGGAATTTTACCCCTACATTGTTTTAACCATTATGCTTCGATGATCTTGACCGTCTGGTAGCTGACTCCGTCTTATCACTTGTCACATAGAAGGAGATTAAGTATTGATTTGATTACGAATCCAAACTGAGCATCTTAGAGATAAAATAATTACTCCTTTTAATCTGGAAACTACGTTCTACTAGGGCAAATGTAGTTTAAGTTCCCAGGTAAAATCTCAGTCAAATTTTCACAGTGTGACAAAGGAAGGTTAAGGCTACCTCAGTTAGATTTTATTAGTTTTGTATTTGTTTCCTGTGGCTGCTCTATCGAATTAACACAATCTTAGTTGCTTAAAAAACACCCCGAAATTTGTTAGCTTACACTTCTGGAAGTCAGAACTCAAAATGGGTCTAAGGAGTTACAATGGAGGT